GGTAAACCCTTACACCATCAAATATCAAGCCTCCCTCTTGTACAGCAACTCCCATTTCTGTGGAGGCACCCTCATCCACCCGCAATGGGTGGTGTCTGCTGCCCACTGCTGGAGGGCGTAAGTTACTGCAGCTGTACATCAGGAGCACAGACACTGATCAAAACCTTGCATTCATATGTTAATACAGAGCACATCAATGTTTTGTGCTATCATTATAATTATTAATACATTTATTTCTTTTTAAATATTTGGACAACTTTTGTGTGTCTTTGATCAGCTAAACAATTATTCATGTCTTCCCCTCTTGTAGGAGTCACACGATTAAAGTGGTCCTGAGTCAGCACAGTCTCACACAGTGGAATGGATCGGAGCAGATATTCAACGTCTCCTTGATCGTTAAAAACTCACAGTACAGCTACTGGATGCTTGACAATGATATCATGCTGCTTAAGGTAAGGGACAGCCATGACAAACACCTCATGATTTATAGTTACTCTTTCTAGACATTTACCTTGAGATGGGAGGTACAGATAAGTGGCACACCCAGGTTGTAGTGTGCAAACAGAGCAGGATGCTTAAAGATGTTTAAATAGTTAAGAATATTTAGAATAATTAGAAAAGTACAGATTTTCTATTGTACCTGTGCATTAAAAAGTAGACATGTAACTTCCAATAAGTTAGTACATATAAACTGAGAAAAGTAGTTATAACAGTGGTAGTTGTTCAGTTGATTAGTGCAAGTTACAGCGCAGATGTAAACATCTGTGTTTGTTGGGAGCAGTTTTGATTGTACAGTCTGACAGCTGCAGGGAGGAAGGACCTGTGGAAACGCTCCTTCATGCATCTAGGATGCAGCAGTCTGTCACTGAAGGAGCTCTGCAGTTCAGCAACATTTACATGCATGGGGTGGGAGACTCTGTCCATCAGAAAGGTTATTTTGGCCAGAGTCCTGTCTCCCACCACCTGCACTGGATCCAGGGTGGATCCCAGAACAGAGCTGGCCTCTGAGTCATAAAAGGTCTTTAAAAGCACTCCCTGGACTCCAAATGACCTCAGTCGCCTCAGCAGGTAGAGTCTGCTCTGACCCTTCCTGTAAAGAGCATCAGTGTTGTGGCTCCAGTCCAGTTTATTATTCAGGTGAACACCCAGGTACCTATACGAGTCCACTATCTCAATGTCCACTCCCTGGATGTTCACCGGTGTCAGTGTGGTGGGTCTGCGTCTCCGGAAGTCCACCACCAACTGCTTGGTTTTCCCGGCATTGATCAGCAGGTGGTTCTGCTGACACCAGTCCACAAAGCTGAAGGAGTCACTTGGATACGTGACGAAACATTTCTCCCACTGAAAATCCTACAAAACAGAATCAACTTTGTGGGATTTCCTTACCTGGATGTTTGAGTATGCAAGTGTGTCAAACGGCATAAACTATTATGTGGCAACAAAACCCATAATAGATCTTCATTAAACCTTATGTTTTAACAGGTTCTTCAGAAGCTTAATTATTTTTGCTGTATCGCCACTTTGCCACTTTGCCACTTTGCTTCAGTTCATTGAACTTTGTGGGCATTCCCTCTGCACAGCTCTCTTAAGGTCTTGCCATAACATTTCAGTCAGGCTAAGGTCTGAACTTTGACTGGCCAATCGATTCTTTTCATTTTCAGCCACTCTGTTGTATATGTTACTGCCCTTGGGATCATTGTCCTGGTACATAAGCCAGTGACTCTAGAATACTTTGCTATACAGAGGAGTTCATGGTCGTTGTGCTGTCTTTGATTTTTGCAACACGTGGTGCTGTGAAATTATAGCCAAACATTTTCATTGTTGCAGGAAGTCTTGTTGTTTCCTCAGAGTCTATGTCTTGCAAACTTAAGTCATATGTATGACTTGGGTTGGGTTAGGTTTGCAAAAGAGTTTCTAAGTATAGCTTGTTTGTCATGAACTTTAACATTTAACATGCTCACTGAGGCCTAGAGAGTCTAAAATGTAATGCTCCAGACCTGCCTGCAACTTATCTTCTTAATTGCTATGGAAGCAGTGAGGGTGTACTCAGTTTTTACCGGAGAACTCTTTCCTTTTCACATTACTGTACCTCGCACTATGATTCCTTTAAGTTTTACCGAGTTTCAGTAAACTTTTCCACAAAGTTCATTTTAGTATCTAACATTGTTGGGATTCTATACCCACTATACCCTCTGTCTCCAAATCTATAAAACAGTAGTTATTAACTAATAAAATCTGTTGTCATAATCTGAAGTTTTCACTAACTGTGATTTTATAATAATTGTGTTAACATGCTTTTGCATCTTTTTCCTTTTTCTGAATCATTCTATCAACCTGGCAGGGACTGCAGAAGAAAACTAGTTTTTATGGCTAAATGTGGCATTGTTAAATGATAGACTCAACATTATATTATGTATGATATGTAGACAATGTTGACTGACAGAAGGATTTGTTTTTTGTGGGTCAGCTGGACCGTCCAGCTATCATCAATGACATGGTCAAGCCAGCCTCGCTGCCAGACCCTAACTCTCCGCCACTGCAAAACCTGAATTTATGCACAGTTAGTGGCTGGGGTGTTACCTGGATGTACAGCCAGAGTTTATCCCCTGAACTGAGGTCAGTGGAGGTGGAATTGTTCACCAGCTGCTGGAATTACTACCCCTTCAGGATCACAAACAACATGATCTGTGCTGGCTCTAGGAGTGGCGGGAGAGACTCCTGTCAGGTAACATATGTAAATACAAAAATGAAATACAAAAGAATGATAAGACTTGGAAATGGACACTTCAGTTTGTCTATTTTACACTGTTGACTTTGCATTTGTTTTTGCTTTTTAATGGAGTAATGTGGTAAACTTTAAATTGCCAAACAGCAGCAACAATGTCCCACTAACAAAAGCAATATCACTTCTAACAGTAGCTGGACTTTGCATATTTTGTATTTCCTTTAAAAATAAATAAATAAAATTTGTCCTATCAGGTAACAAACACCCTGAAATCTTTTTTTTTTCCTTTTCCTTTTTCAGGGTGATTCTGGAGGACCTCTTGTTTGTAATGGCAAATTTGAAGGCATTGTATCTTGGGGCATCGGCTGTGCGATTTCATACTACCCTGGTGTCTACACCAAGGTCAGAAACTACATTGGATGGATGAATCAGGTTATTGAGAACAGCTAATAACAATCCTTACCACTAGCTAACAGAAAATTCAACCTTGATTAAAAAAAAAGAAGAAGAAAAAGAAACAAACTTGAATGGCTCCTGAAGGACCAAAAATGCTATGTTTATCTTTTATATAATTGTTTTTATATAATCACAGATATATTTGTTAAAGCTAAATTACCTGGAACCTACGCCTGACTGACTTTTATTCCCACTGACTGAATATCACCGTTATGATACAAACTGAACCAGGTTTTACAATTCATCCTGCTAAAAACACTTTTTAATGTTACAGTTATATTACAGTGTTATACAGAAATGAAAACATTGTCATAGATTTTGGATAACGTCTGTTTTAGGAATTGTTTTTGCTCTTTGAAACCTTCTATTGTCCACTGACTCTAAACATATGGACCTTAAATAAACATTTTCTGAGAATAACCTGTGTTTTTTCGGTCATTTGACACAAATAAAACACACTACGAAACTTCCTCAGAATCCGGTCAGGCAGGTGAGTCTTGCCCAAACCCCGGTTTCATGTCACATCTGCACAAAAGTCACAAAGGGACAACACCTCCCTTTCTTTCTGACAGCATGCTGACATTCTGGTGAGTGATTGGCTGTTTGTGCCCTCTCCCCTTTCCCTCGGTCCCATTCACATTTAAAGCTGAGCTACAACAGGCTCACACACCAACTTTAAAAGACATCTTAGAAAATACAACCGTAATCATGGCAGGAACCCAGTCCAACAGTGAGGTGATGCATATTGAGGATCGTGACATTAAACATGTTTCCAAAGAGACAGTTGCAAAACTGATTCAGCTCTCCCACGAGGCGAAGAAGCAAGCCTACTGTCCTTACAGCAAATTCAGAGTCGGGGCTGCGCTGCTCACCCTTGACAACAGTGTGCATACAGGTAAGTCTCATATGAAACTTGTTGTTTTTTAGTAGATGCATGTATATCATATGAAGCTTTAAGGTAATGGTTTTAGGTTTGGGGTGAACAAAAAAGGAGGTTATTGGCTACTATTTACTACTGAATGAATGCTGTTGCACCAAAACACAAAAGTAACTTTTAGCATAATTGTACCCTGAAAAGTATATAGTGAAAGACGGGAAGACGTGAGCTAAATTATGCTGTTTGTATTTGAGTCAAGTCAATTCTTGCTTCTTTATGGTGCAAGATCTCCACAGACGAGTGAGAAATGACAAAACCTCCCAGCTCTTACCTTTGTTTTTGTTTTATCCAAATGAAATGCACAAGAAATTACACATTAGTTTGTACTGAGTTGATCCGCTGTGTTAATGATTACCTGACAGTTCAAATGTCTGGACTCAGATAAGCTCTACATCCTCAGCTTTTTATAATTCCACATGACTGAGTTAAATCACATTTCTGAGAAGGAACACATCTTAGCGTTCCCGCGAGCTAAGAGAGCCCTTCGGTTATCACTTGCTTCAACGGCACTGTGTGCACCGAGAGGGATGTCAGACCACTGTCTACAGTAAAGCAAAGACACAAAAGTCTGGTCAGTGTCACTGGACTGTACAAACCTTGGCAAGTGTCCCTCAGTGAGAATGTCTGGGGAGGGTAAAAGGCTGGCAAACAGCTGTGAATGTTTTTTACCATGTGAAGAACCCCGTTTATTGCTCATGTTGCCAAAAAAATCCCTTTCTATTCTTGTGTCTTTGGCAGGTTGTAATGTGGAGAATGCCTGTTACAATCTGGGAATGTGTGCTGAGAGGAACGTTATCGCGAAGGCAGTGTCAGAAGGGCACCAACGTTTCAAGGCCATTGCAATTGCCAGGTAAGGAGCCCGTATAATTAACACACACAGACACACACACACACACAGTAATCTGGAAAGTTCTCCATTTCCACAGATGCAGGCATCCTTCCTGCTGTTGTCTGAGACTATGACTCACTCCACATTGCATGTCCTTGTGCACGTCGCTAAACCTTAAGAAACACAGACAGACTACCAATGTTATTTCTTAAACCAGGTTAAGACTTTTTTTTTGTCTGTATATTATTTGTTAGGGAAGAGTTAAGGCTATAGGATACTTCTCCTTAGCAGTCAGAAATCTTGAAAACGCTGGAGAAGTGATACTATAACTAATTATGTGAAATTCCGCCATGAATCCTAATATTAAATAGAAGCCATGAGTTTTTCTTTCTACATTTCATATAAGTAAACAACTATTTGCCAATTCAAAACTCTTCTTCTCCTTTCCTCAGTGACATGAGTGACCAGTTCATTTCCCCATGTGGAGGCTGCAGGCAGTTCATGAGAGAGGTATTAACTCTGCTCATTTTGGTTCGGAGCAGATTTGTTTAAAAGGGACCTTTAATCTCCAGTCAGTGATTGATTACAGTACACAGTGACAAGCTCACACGTCACTCTAGGCAATATTTATCCTGTTTGTGGCCTATGTAACACATTAGAAGGTGCTAGTTTGTCATTAAACAAACATTTCAGTGTGAAACACTTGACTCCAGCCCTTTGCTTTCCCCGTTTTCTTTACAGTTTGGATCAAACTGGGATGTATACTTGTCAAAGCCTGATGGCTCGTATATGAAGATGACTGTGGAAGAGCTTCTGCCAGTCTCCTTTGGCCCCGAAGACCTGACCAAGAAGAAAGTGTCTTACATTCCTAATAACAACTGAGCCAGTCTTCTAGTACGAAAACACGCGAGTGTCCGTGACACGCAGCGTACTTCAAGCACATGCTGATCATGCATTGATGTAATGTAGCAGAAGTTATATTTATGGTCAATATTTGTTCTTGTATTATTTGTCGAAATGTAAACAATGTCAAATATTTAAGTGTACTCTAAATACCAAGTGATGCTAAAAATATGTTGTGGAAACAGTGCATCTGACTCAAATAGTCAACCATTTGCCCGCTTGTATATGATGAGCACTGTGTAGATCCATAAACAATGTGTGTCGGTTAAAAGAAGCACAAACAACAGAGATATCAAGGTCAAACATATTTGCACACTTTAATAAATAAACCGTTTTAAAAAGGAATTTAGTTACACTTCATTTTATACAGTTAGAATGACTTCCAAAAGACATAGAAGAATACAATTATTATTTGTTGAGCAGCAAATTGTTCTATTACAGAGACAAGGGTGAATTTTATGATGTGATTTTAGGTCTACTTATTCCATGCATTAACATCTGCTGTGGTTAAAGGGCCAAGTATTAAAATGGACAAATATACGGTTTGATTTATTGTTCCTGTTGATTGAAGGTAACAAACAAAACAGGTAGATCAGCCTCAAGCAGGTTAATCAATATGCATTTCACCCTGTTATTGGGTGTTCTGAGGCTGTGTACTAAGTTCTGTTTGTCTGAAAGCGATGTCAGCTATGAATAGCAAACTAAAGTACAAAATCAAATTCAAGGGAAGGATCCTGCAATCCCACAGAAACAAATCATCTGTAAACAGTGCAACAATTTCAGTTTGCATGCCATCATTAGCCTGCTCCCAAAGAAAGCCTCTGAAGTGTCAGATTTTTCCATTAGTGGGACATAACGTTAAAAGGTCAAACTCTAGGGAGGTGTTAACAGTGGATGGAAGGTTCAGAGGTTCAATGTGGTTTTTAAGTCCTTGAGCAGACAGAAATAAACGCACATCTCCCATGCTGCATGAGTTTAACCTCACGAGAAACATTTTTGCACACACAGCTAGCTAGAGCTAGCGTCTGAGCCATAATGCATTGTGTGGATGTAGACATGTTAACAAAACAATTAAGAATGTGCATTTTGCTGTTGTAAAACACTGGATTTCAACAGTTCAGTGGCAAACTACATCTGCAAAATAGAGCTTTAAAAAAAACAACAACAAACAAACCTGAAAACTAATTTTCTTAATTCAGCTTCAGCCCTCTGCGGTATCGTCAACAAGCGTGGGCCATGCTGGGACACGTATCCTGGGCAGGGTCCCCTCCATTAGCCTCTCCATCCACAGTCCCAGCCTGTCAAGCTTATGGTGGACCTCTATGCTAGTGGCCCTGCTGGAGCCTCTCCTGGAGCCGGATCCATCCTCCCTGGAACGGGATCGCGATCGGGAGTGTGAGCTAGACCTTGACTTGGAACGGGACTTCCTCCTGCTGTCTGAGGAGAATGAGGTATCAGAAGATGAATCGCTGCCATCGTCCCCTGTGAACACGGGTCTAAAGAGGCAGAAATATTTCTTGTGGCCATTCAGGGCCAGGACATAGCCCATGTAGTTGGAAGACTCCTCCTCGTCATCTGAATGGCTCTGGCTCTGCGCACCATCACAAGCTAAGCGAAGGATTGATGGCATCCAGTGGCGATGCTTATCGGCGTTGAGGAAGGAGAAGTGGAGGGTCTCAGACCTGCAGATAGGCAGCAAAGGTCAATAGTATAGCAGATACCACTTTAGACTAATGAAAAGTAAAACCTCCACACTTACCCAGAGAAAGAGAAAACCTCCTTGGCAAATTTCCGGAGCAAAGCACTCTTGGAAGCGTTGGTGAGCACCAGCAGGACATTGATGTGGCCAGGCCTCAGCTTGACAAGGTTACTGGTGTATGTAATGCCTGTTAGCTCTGTCACCTCCACAAAGTCCTTTTTTGGTGGACGGCTACACAAACCAAAGGGGAAAAAATAATGAAATATGCTTTTGTAGTTCATGTCCATATACAGTACAGTGCAAAGGTTTTAAGTCATTATTCATTTCTTTATATTTTGCTTCCAAAGAGCCAAATGTTTTTGTGAGTTTCAAAGTTAGTCTTGAGCAGTAGCTCTCCAGGCTTTCTCGGAGGTCTTTCAAAGTTTTTCTTTGCACACTGCCTTCTTTTTCAATCCTTTTTAGTCCAGTTTCATGTTTCTTTTTGTTTGTTTGTTTTTTACACCACTTCAAAGTGACCTAGGAATCATTCAAGCATAAAAAAGTACATGATCATTTATCTAACAAAAATGACCCATACCTGCACTCTCTTTTGACAAAGGTTTTTGGTGTATTGAACTGAGAAACTATTAACACACAATTACTATTCTATTAGGTCACATGGATCCTGCCTGCTAGATAAAAACCTACAAAATTTCAAAATATGCTTTCAAAAGCATTAATTAGAGTCGCTCATGGAAGGTATGAGAGTGGCTCTTATACTTGTCATTACATTACCTGAAGGTACTTGCTCTGCTCGATGCATCATCCTCAGTTTGTGTTTGCTCCTTTGGCTTTGGTTTTGGTTTTTGGGGTTTGCTCTCACCCGGCTCACTGAAAATATACCAAAGAAAGAAAATCATCAGTCTTTTGAGATCATGATATTTTCCCAGTGTTTGACTCAGCTGCAAGCACCTGCCAACCAGTCAAGTTTCAGTATGCATGTCTGCCAACCTCACCTGAACGCCTGGATGATGACGGTGCCAAAAACAATGAAGAGTGCTGAGAAGATCAAGGACAGAATAGGCATCATCTCTCGCCTTGCAGGAAAAAAATGAAGTAAAAAAATGAGTTTGGATTGAAAAACAAAATACAATGCACAGCGCAAAGTTTTCATTTCAGCTAATTTTGTCTCTACATGTTGATACACTTTAGAGCAGCAGCATTACAGCTGTAATTAAAGACAGAACGTAAGAACATACAGAGCCACCTCAACATACATATTCATTCGGATACAGAATGATTCACCTACTTAATCATTTCAAAAATATCAGGAAAAACAAACATTGTTTGACTGTCTCTTTCTTACAATGAACTCAGCAGATTCCCTGGATCAGTATTGTCTTACCAATTTGAGTAGAGAAGGTCATCGTATATTTGAAGCATGTAATCATAAGCAGCATTCATCCACCGAATGATAAAAATCTGGTAAGGGAAAAATCAGGACATTAATGCAAAAATATAATTCAATGAAGTTCACCCTCAGATGAATGTGTGAATGCCCATGCAGACCCAGCCTGGCAGGCTCTCGACTAAAGCATCTACGCTGGCACTTACGGGGGCCATCTCGTTGTTGAGTTCTGGTAAGGTGGCGTCTGAAGTCAGATAGGTGGGGTCCTTCTGAAGGAGCTCCAGCTGTTCATGAAGGTGGTACTTGTCTTCCTCGCTGCCATTCCAGCCACCGCTCACGGAACGGTACAGGACTTTACCAGTCTGGCTCCGCCTCTCGAGAATCACCACCTGTCAGTGTTTAGGAGCACTGTGACTGAAATTTGAGGCGCTGCACCATCTCTAGTCTGCACATATCGGTAATGTGACACATCGTATCAGAGAGACCTTCCATTGCAGGTTGTTCTGGGTATATGAAGGTGGTTTGCCAAAAAGTGCAAGATGTCCTTGAGGTTTTGTTTTTTTGTAGCAATAACAGACAGAAAAGTGATGATTGTTGCAAAGCAGTGATTCCCAAAGCGTTGGCCGGGGTGGGCCGCAGTAATAGCAGCCACTAAAAAAGATTTTCTGGTTTTTAAGCGGGCTGCAGAACTCTTGACTTTGGGGATTGGTTTTGTAAAGTATGGACTGTGTGTGTTTTGACCACTGACCTGAGCAGAGTGTGCTCCCTGGTTTTGGAGCAATGCCTGGCAGAGAGGCTGCTGCTGACGCTGGTAGACATATGCAAACCGTAGCACATCTTTGCTGTTGGCTGAGGCGAAGTCCAGGAAGGCCTTATTGGCTGCGAGATAGGCCGGGTCATCACCTGTGATCAGCAGCACACAGTACCTGCAAACCACTCACAATCAGCTCCCCAGCCACCGCAGTCAAATGTAGCTACACAACCTTTGCATTACCATCATGAGAACTGTCCAACTATTCTGCTTCTTACAGTTATAAAAAATGTATTTTTCTTCTAACAGTCTTAGTTCAGTTTACAAGAGGTCAATCTAAGTAGGATCATAAGTGCAGGACTATTGGCTACTAATCTGTTCACAAAATGTCTTACTTCCTCCGCCGGTGGAACTGCTTGACAGGACATAGCTCATGAAAAAGCTGCTGGCTGACCAGTCGTGGCACCTGCAGGAACTTGTTGTTTGAGACAAACTCGTCCATCATCTGTCGCTTCATCCCTCTGGCCTGATAAAAAACAAAGGTCCTTCTATGTAAAGTTTAAATCTATTACCATAAGGAACCGGCTTTAAGCTGCAGCATATTCCTGGTGTACCTGGATGATGTCAACAGGCTTCACCGTGTCTTCCTTAAAGAGCAGCATGGTGGGAGCATATGTGTTTATGTTGTACTGCAGCAGGAGCCTGGTGCTGCCTGTGCCACCCTGGTGCACAAAGCCGAAACGCACATAATCTCTGAAGGCGAATGCTGTCAACTGTGGGGTCGAATGGAAAGATTAGAGCCTGAAAGGGTGCTCAAGACTAAAATGACGCTGCTTTTGTATTCGTTTTTGATTGTTAACCATCTAAGGTGAAAATAAATTAGCTAAAATTCTGTGCGGTATATAAATATAAAATTAATCTATTTGGAAAAAGGAACAATTTTAAGTGGAAGAGCTGCAAAAAACAGAGACCTCTGCACTTGCTGTTGGGAGTCTATTTATGTGCCGTCATGCATTTTTGTTTTTTTATAAGCAGGAGATGAGGCAGGCTGAACAACTCATTCTGTAATCAGTGATCTATTTGCTTGGAGCTGGATGTGTTCTTCTCCTACCTTGTAGAGCAGGGGAACAACGGGGACCTGATCAAACAACAGAACTCTGGGTTTATTTTCCACATGCCAGTTTTCAAGAAATGCCATGTAGTTATCGTCAGTGATCTACAAAAACAACAGAAATTAGCTGAAAAATATACTTCCTGCAACTTTATTAGCCATGATGACTAATCTATAAACACAAAAGAAAAACTGATGATGGCACACACATGCAGTAGTAGGACAATTGTGTCAGTTTTAGTTACCTTCATCACCAGTTTCTGGGGCAGCAAATCTTCAACAAACTGTCGCAGGAACTCCCGCACCACTGCCTGATGGAAGAAGGTCACTCTTCCGTTCATCACCCCGATGATGGAGGGAGCACGGTAAGCTCCCAGCTGCTTGGCCAAAGCCCGATCAAAGCCCAGGTCTACAATACCGATGCCTACACCTGGAGTAAAAATAACAACAGATTACAGTTGGACCTGGCACAGTTAAGTAAAACAAATCCTCTGCCTCAGCAAGTTAAAAATAAACAAATAAATCCTAAACATTATTGGCAGATTTGTTATCATCCAATAATTTTACATGGTGAGCTAATGTCATTGAATGTAACTTTTTTCCACTTACAACAAGCTGATGGCAAATTTCTCTGTATTCAAATATATCTATGGCTAAATCTGTTTATAATAATAATAAAAAATGCAAGTGATGTGAGTAAATTCTATTTTAGCTCTTTCCCCCTGGACACCTGGTAGTGCTAACCCTCGTTTCTCTTTTCTGAACTGAGTTTCAGGTTTCTGTCATATTAGCCTTGGAAAAAATATTCCAATGATCTTTACTTATATACACCGGAGAGGATTTTAAATGTCGTCTTTATGAGGTAAAGAGTTAAGATTGATTTTCACTTTCACTAAACAACTACTGTGAAGCTCAGGAATAAGAGACTCTTAAAGCCTGTAAGAAGAACTACTATTTCCCTAGTTTAAGTCATAAAATGACCTGAACAGCACAGTACTTAATACCGCTTTAGCATCAGAAGCTACACTAATTACTGAACCCATCCAGACTCAAGCACCACTGTTAAGTTTGCAAATAATACAATCATGAGTAGCCTCCTAAATGATGCACACGGGGAAAAGGTTCAAATTATAATATTATGGTGTGTGAACACAAAGACCAAAGAGATCATTGTAGACATCTGGGCTACAAAATAAACCACACATGCACCTCAAAAACATCTATACATTAATGAAAGAAGATGGAGATAGTCCCCAACTTCAGGTTTCTGAAGCTGGGGACTATCTTTCTAATAGTAGCTTTCTTGGGATGGCAAAACCTCAGCAGTTGTAGGTGAGTCACAACAGCTGTTTGACAGACAAATAAAGAAAACCTCTTCACAAACTGTATGAAAGCTTGATATGGTAGCTGCACCAAATGTACCAAAAAGGCCCTTGAGCAGGTTGTGAAAACAGGATGAAACATCACCGGCACAGAGCACATCTCTGCATCACTGGCTGCGTGAAGAGGGCCAAGCAAATCCACAAGGACCCTCCACACACCTTAGACGCTATTTATTATGCTCGTCCCATGAGGCAGGCACCTTCAGAGCTATGCTTCTTCTGTATCTCACGTACAGTCATGTTTTCATCCTTCAGATAGACATATTTATATGGATACATGACTTATTTTATCAACATTTTAGAACTTGCGTAATCATTTTGCACTCTGTCCAGTACTATAAAACTGCTAACGCACCCTCACTCTTGCTGTTCTTTTTAGCTTTGTTAGTGCAGAATTTTTAATCATTTGTACTTCTTACATTTTACTTGTTTTCTTTTTTATTTCTGTCACCATCTAAATGTTACGTGCCACGGGAGATTAGTATCACTGTAATTTTGTTATGTTTGCATAGTGACAATAAAGGCCTTGAATCTTGAAGCAAAGCAAGAGATTTTTGTTAAACAGTTGTAACATCCACCTTGTGAAATTCAATGTAAATCCCAGTTATTCTCACAGGTGATATCAGCTCGGTGCAAGAGGGTTGCATAAACAGCAAGATGGCTGATACAGACTAACTGTGCTTCTAATAAGCCGAAATCTCAGCTATTCACAATCATTATATAGAGTTGAGTTCTCTTGTTTCACTCTTTGCTTCAAGAAACCAAGAACAACAAATAAACCATAATGAATAATTAAAGAAGTGCAAGGCTCTCAGTAAAGCATCTCAACACTGTTGCCCTAATGGGCAGTTGTGCAGACATTAATCTTGTGAGCTGATGCCTTTATCCCAAGATGGTGTTAGGACACACTGATATCCTTACCTAAAGGCTCCAGCTCCTGCACGGTCTCCTTCCACACTGGCTCGATATGGATGCATGCAAAGCACCACTCTGAGGTCACTTTTATTAGGTATGGCCTCTTGTGGCTGTCTGGAAGGACTTCGTTGTTAAACTGTGCAAGGCGAAGCATGTACTTGCTGTCTGAAAAGTCTCTGTTCCTGGAGAAAAGCAGGGAAAAACATGAAGTGTTTTAAGATCTAACCTCAAGGATGCTAACAGTACACAGCTTGAGTGTAAACTGCAACTGTAACTTTCATTTGTTTGCTTGGGTTGAATTAGTGTTCATGAGATAGAGAAGCTTCTCCAAAAAAAGAAAGAAAAAAAAAAGAACAAGAAGAATAACAGGATCAAGTCTAAATATGTGTAAAAGTCAAAATTGATGTATTCAGTGTATGAACTGATGTGTGGTGTATGTAAGGAATCTGCTTATATATATTTTTGTTTGGTTTGCAAATACAAAGAGGAGCCCAGATTACACTGACAGCACAGGGTACCTGGGGAAATGGAAAAAAGACTCATCAAAGTAAAAGCTGCTGTGAAAGCTGCGGAAACCGTGATGCTGTGACTGGCCAAAGGGCTGGTTTTTATCCTTCTGCCCAAACCGGTCAAAGTTGGACCTTCGCTCCTCATTAGATAGAATCTGTGTGCAAAAAAGGGAAAACGGGAAACGATAAGGCTCTGACAGTAATGTCTGCAATTTAGGGAAGAGGCTATGATAAAGAAAGTGAAAGTGAATTAAATGAACCAAGTTAAAATGACATGTAATGATCCCTTTTCACCCACCTCGTAAGACTTAGAAATCTTGATGAACATGTCCTCAGCATTAGGGTCCTTATTTTTATCTGGGTGCCTACAAAAGGGTGACATTACGGATTACCAGCAGGTTCAAAGAGGGTTACATTTAAGGTTCTGAAACAGGCCTACACAGTAATGGGTTAAGCAAATACTAACAGCAGTTCATGCCATATGTGAAATGCACACTGCTGACTGTCAGCTAAGATATGATGGGCTGACATTAGGGGCCCGGTTGTCAGTCACTCACCATTCTCTGGCAAGCCTCTTGTATGCCCTTTTGATTTCGGCTTGACTGGCACTCCTGCTGACACCCAGGGTGTAATAGGGGTCATATTCAGAGGCTGTTTTCACCAGCTCTGCGCTCAAAATTAGCATAAAGATGGCGAGAAAAGCTGCACATTTCCCAGACTGTCGGCTGGTCCTCCAAACCCTCATGATCTGTCTGTCTCTGTCCTTGTCCAACAGTAACGTCAGTTAGCTACCGTACTGTCCAGATGAGTAACGCTACAAAGCTCTCCGGTAACAGATGGGCTTACATGATCACACATCCCGAACTCTTTGACTGCTATTCATAACCACACACAACACTGTAGTATTTCACTAAGACGAAGCCATTATTTCCAGGAACTGATGGACATTAGCACAGTCGGTATCATGCCGGCGATGAAAACCAGCTTCCGGTTGAAACTTTCAAAGTAAATGAAAATTAGGCTAACTAAAGGAACAATAACTGGAAAAAGGTATAATTCAAGAAGAATCCATAATTAATTACAAAGAAATAATAAAAAACCACACGAGAGCTAATAAAGGCAGATTAAAGACTGATTAACTTATGATAAGATGACTGCCGATGATAGATTTGTATTTAAATAGCTTAGTGCAGACCTCACTTGTCTCAGTTAAGGCGTTAAGGAGTTCATGATTCAACAATAAGAAAGAGACTTGGCAAAAATGGCATGGTCTAGTTAAAGCCCTCACATAAATCCTTTTGAGATGTTTTGACGCGACCTTAAACAGGCCGTTCATGCTCAAACCCTCCAAATCTTTAATTTGCCAAAGGACTTGCATGCTTATATTTTGAAGTAAACAAAATAACATCCGGTCTGGGCTCCAAGCTGGAGAATGACTACTGCGCATGCTGTAGTTTACAGCTGTTCACAGCACTCAATTTTCTTCAGTCTGCTTTAATTTTAGATTTTTTCTTTATTATCACAAGTGGCAAAAATAGATCTCGCAGCTCTTTTTTTTGTTCTTTTTTGTTGTTGTTTTAAATTACTGTAATCATTGTGTTTTATCCGTTTTTGGCAAAAAACTGCAAAATTGAGTTGTGGTGTTTGTCTATTTGCTTATGCTCATTTTTAAGAATAAAAATTAAATTAAATCTTTGTCAATATAAACCTATCTTTTCGCCATTTTAAAACCTCTATTTTGGGGGTGTGGAGGTTCACTTCCGTTTCCCCTGCGTCACGAAGACCCATAAGTGACACTACTTGGAGGTAGACAGTGATTGCATTGATACCTTGTGTGCGGATCTCTGAACGGTGAATGACAGAGGCTGCTTATTGTAACCCAGACTGACCCAGTGAAAAGACCAAGTTTCCATCCTTCCTTCCAATATGAGCTGTCTTTCTGCGTTTGCATACAGCGCAGTGAGCTTACAAAGTGCGCAGATGGTCTGGTCTCGGTAGCTAACGCTAGCTCTGCAAAGCTGCTATCAGTGGTCCGCTCCAGCTGTACCGTTCACACCACAGGCACACGCTTTCATTTCAGGTAATTAACAAATTCTCTTCAATTCAGTTCATAACTGGTTACCGCATTTCTTTGTGTGTGTGTGTGTGTGTGTGTGTGTGTGTGTGTGTGTGTGTGTACTGTTAAGCTACTAAGCTTAGAAACCAGGTGGTGCTGCAGAATCATGGGTGAATGAAAGAGCTGAGGTTACTTTGCTGTTTCGCTCGATAGCTGCAGTTATCCAAGGCATAAAGCATCTACGTGAAAAGAGAAAGACGCAAAAGCTCTTTGCTCATTCCCCTTTAACCATACTTGTTCATATTTATGTTTGACAGTTATAATTTGTGATGATAAAGCTAATATATTTTGCCTCTTTTGTTTTTTCACCCCAGAGTCCGCATCATGAATCTGTTTCGTCTGGTGTGCCGCCACAAGACAGCGCTGGTCATTGGCACAGTTTGCAGCTTTGCTGTAGTTCTTGTCTTCTTAGCAAAATGCACATCAGAAACCCTAAAACAGGGTCACCCCGATCCTCCTGGCAGAGCCCCCCAAGCCATCGGTTTTCAGTCCCGCCCAGCGCAACAGAATCCTCCCTCCGCATCCAAAGACTTGTCAGCATTTCTCGTGGTCCTCATCACAACAGGCCCGAAGTACACGGAGCGACGTAGTATTATCCGCAGCACCTGGCTTGCCAAGCGGGACTCTGATGTTCTGGCCATGTTTGTAGTAGGAACACAGGGCCTTTCCAGTGAGGACCTTCAGAATCTTAACACGGAGCAAGGGCGGCACAAGGACTTACTCTTACTGCCCGACTTGCGAGACTCTTACGAGAACCTGACCCTCAAACTGCTGCACATGTACACCTGGCTGGACCAGAACGTGGAGTTCACGTTTGTCCTGAAAGCAGATGACGACACATTCGCTCGCTTGGACCTCCTCAAAGAGGAGCTGAAGGGGAAGGAGCCCAACCGGTTGTACTGGGGCTTCTTCTCAGGCAGAGGCCGGGTGAAATCGGCGGGGAAGTGGCGCGAAAGCTCATGGGAGCTGTGCGATTACTACCTCCCCTACGCGCTGGGCGGCGGCTACGTGCTCTCGGCCGATCTGGTGCATTACGTGCGTCTTAATGCAGGATACTTCAAGACGTGGCAGAGCGAGGACGTGTCGCTGGGCGCGTGGCTGGCACCGGTAGACGTCCGGCGGACACATGACCCACGCTTTGACACAGAGTACAAATCACGCGGTTGCAACAACAAATACCTGGTGACGCACAAGCAGAGCTTGGAGGACATGTTGGAAAAACATCAGACTCTGCAGCGCGATGGCAAGCTCTGCAAGGAGGAAGTCAAGCTGCGTCTGTCCTACGTGTATGACTGGAGTGTGCCACCCTCACAGTGCTGCCAAAGAAAGGATGGGATCCCGTAATCATTGTTTTCTAAAAGGCTGAAGTTCGCTTTATATCTATAGTCATGTCGTCAAAGTCAGTAATGTTATCGGATTTTTCCTTTCCACCAAGTCTCCATTGTTAGACCGTTTAAAGTCACCTAATTGATACAAGACATTATACAAATTGTAGCATTTGTGAAAACACAAAAAGGGTGCAATTCACTGTTTTTTGATTTTATTTTTGTTTTATCGTGTTAAAGCAGCTTTAGGAGCTCTAAACCTACAATTAGTTTCATTTCCCTTTTGTGTGGGTTTGACATGTTAAAGCTGTGGTGGTGAGGGTTTGGATGGAGAAAAAGCCATGAACGAAGAGATTCACATTTTCACAAATCTAAAGCTGTGTTTCAAACAGTCTTTTGGGGACTCCACGCATTAATACTTGCTTTTATGTGGTTATAGAGCTAAAATCACCCATTTAAATCAGAGCGACAGCTTGAAGCACGATGTCGGGTATCAGTTTTACGGCTTGGCTTGAACCGTCAAGAGATATTGCTCCTCGAGTATTTTAACAGAAGCCATCTTCAGTCCTGCTTCGTTGTTGAGCCCCTTCGGTTTTACTGTCAGTGCTTAACCTTATCACCTTCTGCCTACTTCTTTTCAGTGTCTGTATGTTCTCTTAACCTGCTGTACCTTTTTCTACATATATGAGATATGCTTTAAAGTTATTACAGTATAGTAGCTAGTACAAGAAAAACACAGACAGGAGATTGTTGCCATTCTGTTGATGTCTACCTTTTTTCTTTTGTTATTTTATTCTGCGGCAAACATGACACACTGGTATTGAGTTTGGACGGGCTTGCAGTGGGTGTGGTCGCTGCTCATGGATACAGTTTGTATTTAAAATATGTTTGAAAAAATTCACAAAAGTCGTAGATTGACTTTTTGTTTACGATCGATGGCGCTCAAGGTTTTGCGTGTCTCCGAGAATGTGTACGAGAAAATGGGCGAACATGTGGGATTCGGCAGGACTTCTTTTTTTTTTCCTCATGTTGGAACCTGTTTGAGAATTCTGTTATGGTACTTACATTTCTGATAGAGCACTAAAGTCCAGGCGTGGATATTTTACTGTACAGAGGCATAAATCTGAATGTTTTGTTTACAACACAACACAGATGCGGGAGTCGACTACCGGCTGGCACTGAGTCACTTTTTTTTTTTTTTTTTTTAAGCATGAAGACTTGTTTTAATTTCTCTCAATCGTTATTCATCCGTTGTCTGTTTTCTCTGATGTTAGCCTCCCGAACGGAAACCCACCTTTGTGATGTCAGTGGCTGTTTCCCAAAACTTGTGAAATCTGTACAGCAGCTTTGATCAAAGGGGTAAGATACATTTGAGCGCTTCAAATGAAGACTGCTGCACAAAGGGCAACATTTAAGCTCTTTATTTGTTTTGTTTTGTTTTTAATGACTGCTGTTACATTGTTGTGAATAATGACTCTTTCTCAGTGTTGTCAGTAGCAGATTTTAATTCAATGCAATTCAAGTGTTTGTCACTTTTTTATATATATATATAAATATGTAAATGGTCAGCTGCCCCTGGATGTTTTATTAAAAAAATAAATAAATTATTCTTGTCATGTAAATCTTTTACATCAGTTGTTTAAAGGGGCACATTACAGCCAGATGCATTCATAATGGAAAACTCTACAAAAGGCTGGTCCTGCTAAGATTTAAGAATATAATGCTGCTTTATTAATACTGAAAAACTGATGTGCCAACACGCCACGGCCCTCTCTTGCTACTAAAGTTGATCTGTTGTTATAGAGACACGGGATCTCTGGGAAGGTCCTGTGGCAGCAGCATATAGGACACATGTCCAGGATGCTCAGTTAAATTGGGATCTGGGGATTTTGGAGCCTGGGGCAACATCTTGGGCTTTTTGTTGTCGTCCTTCAACTGGTCCTTGGAAGTTCTTATACTGTGGTGGGCCTCGTCATCTCGCCATCCTGCTGTGTCAGCGTGTGCCAAGCAAAGAGACTGTGTGCTCAGTCTGCAACAATGCAAAGTTCGGTGGTGGTATATGTCAGAGTAACCTGAGCCGCATGTAACTACATGAAGTCTGCCCAAGGTAAGCAAAACGCTGCATTTGCATCATAACAAAAGGATCAATGTGGCTGTGGTACTTTACCTGGCAGCAGCAGTGGTTCCATTGTTGTGGCTGAAATCTTCACCCATGGCATTCATTTTAAAAGATCTATATTTTTTTCCTCTGAAATGTAATATGTAGCAAAATTGAATTTTTTTTCACCGTGAAGCTTGGAGGAGCCTTTTTGCAACTCATAACTACTGCAGTTTATATGAGTCGGCACACTTAAACATTGTCAAAATAATCACAGATACATTTTGATTATTGTTTTCTGTCATACAAACAGTTCTCATTCAAGGATCGTGTTCCTTTCAATTTACAGTGTCAACAAGAATCTGTCTGGACTTCACGTTAACGGTATGTGCAGATTTTCTCGAATCGTCACAGGGAAGGATTTGCGATGTGCTTCAGTGTTTGTCTCACACGAATAAATTCTGGCACATTCTTCAGACTTTCGCTCCTCCTCTTCTTCTCCAGCTCGTACTGCAAGACAGATATGTGTTGTTGGATGTCCTCTCTAACGATTCAACTTTAGTCAGCATGCAAATATTCAAAAAGTATACGCATTATTGTAGAATTCCCTGCATCTTTTTTTTTTTTTGCTTTTTTAAAAATCAGAGTACTTACAAATTGCATTCTCTGCTGGCGTATACGTAGCTTCACCTCCAAGTCAGAGGGAGGGTGGAGAGCCAGCTCCTGCTTTTTCTTCTGTCTCTGTTTTTGTTCGAGGACACACAGCAGCTCCGGCTTTTTTCTTGGCAGTACACCTCTGAGGACACAATAAAAAAAACTGATATAAGACGTGTCTCTAGATTAAGACAAACAAGAAGACCATAACATTGAATTCCTGATGTGGTTCTTATGAGTAAGTGCAGAAAGGTTACCATTAATGCAACAAATCCTTTGTTTTGTGTAGGTTTATACAGTAGATGTGTGTTTATAGTTAATAAAACTTTCAAAGTTATTTTCTTCTACCTGCTCCTTTTCACGCATGGTTGCAATGTTATATCAAGGGAAAGCATGGTTTGTGTGTATGAAAGGACAAAACTGTTGAAACTATTGAACCAAGTGTGAAATAAATGAAAGTTTAATAGAAATCTTGTTTAAGCATCGCAAATGTCGTTGATTGTGTTACATTGATTATTTTGTTCTTTCTCAGACTGGAGAGCGAGAACACTCAGTGCTCAGTGTTGATCCCTCAACAGGGGTCAAATGGGCATTTAACTTTTGACTTGATCCACATTAAACGCCACCTAAGCATACTGCTAATCCACGGCTGCCACAACTCCAGCCAGCGGGAAAAAGGTTAAATAAGAGGATTCTCCAACGGACGAATGTTTGAACACTAATAAAATACTGTAACTCAGAGTGTTTTTAGTAAAGGTACTATAACATGAAGAACAATTCAGTGCAGAACTCTCAAGTAGACAATGCGGAGTAACATTTGTGAACAGCACCTGCTACCTGTGTCAGTGTTTTCTCACCGTCTGTGGCAGAATAGCAGCTCTTGATGGAGAGCTCTGTGTTGGTGGGAAGCCAGGACGGGATTTGGCAGCTTTCTGGGTTTAATGAGGTCACTGTCCTCCTGTTGTTGATTTTCAGTCACCTGGTGAGATGGGACCATCCAGCACTGACGTCTGCCTGATACACATGATAACAAGCCAGTGCAATTTGTTCAGTGTACACAATACTACAGCCTATGTATACAGCAAGATGTTCATGAAGTAAACTAAAACTAGTTTCTATCACGTGAAGCTCGTTTGTTTCTTTAGATTCACTCAAACTCCATGATCTTCACTTTCATCAAACTTTAATCTTACCTCTTTTATTGTGGATGCCCATTTTGTGTGGTACCTGAATGAAAACCAGGGGTAATTATGTGAAATATGAAGTGCAAACACGAACAAAACAAAATGTAAAAATGTGCATATGAGCATATTTAAACATTTGATAAAATAAAGTCATACTGGTTATTAAATATTCTTAAATCACCAAAAAGGTAAATAGATTTCTCTAGTGTGAATCAATTGAAGCCTAAATTTAGGATGATGATTATTTTTATGCAATCTAAACTGTAAAATCTAGTTGTGTGACACCTTTTTTAGCTAAGTATGCAAAAGCTCGACACCCTTCCTGTTGAAGGGAAAACAACCCCCCAAAAAACTCTTAAATACATATAAATTGTATAATATGGCATTTAAATAGAAATATAGCTGATAGATTCACTATTTAATTTCAAACACGTAAATAAAATAAAACATTTAAAGAAAAAAACATTATAATGCCATGACTAACTTTATCACAAAATTTACACGATCAAAAAGGAGTAGGATGAAGTTCACACTTCTTTGATTCTATGCCGCTTAACACTGTAGAATAATTTACCAACCAGTGTTCATCAGGCAGCAGACATGTATAACTGATAAATAATAAATTTTAATTGCAAACCCTGAACCTGAACTCGAGTTCGATTCAGTTGGATTCAATTTTCTTCACATAGGGCTGACTGACAACAACAGTCGCCTCCAGGCTCTTTCTATTGTAAAGTAATGACCCTACAAAGATGTTACCAGATTTAAATGATCACGTTTAGCTACATGAACTATGCAGCTGCAAAATGAATTATGAAGAAGTAAAGAAGTAACTGGTTAGTATTGATGCTTGCTTCTGCCAAATAAATAAACAGAATTTTCCATCCATTAGTGAAAATCTTAACTATCTAAATTTTTTGAGTTAGGTTTCTCAAAATTTAAGTAAGTCGATTTAATAAATTGAAATTTTGTGAATTCTGTGACTCCTAACTCAAAATAAGAAAAAGTAATAGCTATAATTATTTTATATCTCTATATATTTTATTTTATTTATTTATTTGGCGGAAATATGCTTCCATACACCAGGGTGGTAAGTCACATGCACTTACTTTTGATAGATATCTTTATCTATAATCCAAATAATTAATTCAGTTGTTCCTTATGTGGTTTTCCATTTAATAAGAACTCACTAATCATAATTGCATAAAAGCGATCAATGAAACCGCCTTACCTGGTTGTTCGGGTTGAGAAGCGTTGATGAGCAGATGCCAAGGAGAGACTGCTGAGCTGTGTTCCTCAGAGACGAATGCACTGGAGGAGGAGGACGGCTTTGTTTTTGAGACCGGGGTGCCCCGTGTTCTGCAGCCGGAGCGCAGATGATCAAACAGGTGCCACGCTATCAAATCTCATTAACTGTCTTACGACTCTTTGTTTCCTTCAGGGGAGAAACTTCTGTTGTCTCAGAGCAGCAGCATATGCAGGGATTAGGGCAATTCATTATAGCGATAATGAAAAAACACTGCCAGCAAAATAAAGATAAAGCATTTTTCTTTGTTGTTAAGGTGCATACTTTTACCCTACCCTCATTACATATATTATTAAATATATAAGTATAAGACATTTAATTAAAGTAAAAAAAACAGGCTAATCTAAGACTGACACAATGAGCCAGTGAGTGTAGAAATGTAGGGATTACCCATCTGTGCAACACAAGTCTGTGTGTTTTTATAGGTGTCTATATGTTGTCACCCTGACAACATTTCTGTCTTTTCCATGTCTAGGATATTCAAACATCACCGAGTCTGGACTCATGGTTTTCTCATCAGTAAAGCCACACACTACGTGCTTCAGAGGCTGACTTGCACATCTAATTCTCAACTAAGAATGTTTTTTAATGTTTTGTGTTATGTATTTTACATAGATACATAATACATAAATTATTATTTTTGTTCAGGTTTTCACATCATGTGTTAAGCACTGTGATGTCACTCTGCCTAAATCTGACTGAAGCTTTCTTGTAATTGATTTATTTGACGGAGGCAAATGATGTCAGCTCACTGTAGTGTGGGTGGAAGCTCACTTTAATCCTCATCCTTCCCTCTGCTGCTGCATAAGGTGTGTCCAGGTTTACAGCTGCAGCAGAGTCAGCCTTTTTCTCCAGTTTGTTCATTGTGCCTTGACATTCCACCCATATTATTTCCCTACAGGGAGCAGTGTGCTGGCCACAAGAAACGACCAATAAAAACCTGCCTTGTGCTGTATTGATTGTTTTTTACCGGTGCATTTTTCTAATGCTATAATAATTTATTACCTCTCTGTAGAAGCACAAGGTTAGAGCTTATCATGTTTTCAAATATCTCTCAGCTTTGTTGCCTTGGTTGTGCTGCATTAAGAAGAGTTTATGAGAAAGTTTGTAGAATATTATTAAAGTGATTTTATCCCTACATCAAAAAACCAGAGAGGTACTCAGTAAGCACATGAAATTTTAATATTAGAGAAAGATCACCCAAGTAAATACAAAATACAGAACCCAAACTCTCACCAGGCCACAGAATATTTTTCTAGAGTCTTTGGGGTCCTCAAGACCTTTGTTCTTACATGGTTGGTATTTTTGCCCAGTGTCGTTCTTACTGTTGAATCATGAACTCTGACCTTGAATCATGAACCCTGTAGTTCTTTAATGTTGTTCTGGATTATTTTATGACCTTCTGCACGAGGTGTTGATGTGACGTGGTCTTGGAGTAATTTTAATAGACCAGCCACTTCTGATAAAGTTTGCCACATTTTATATTGCAACACGGCTCTCAGCATGGTTTGGTGGAGATTCAAAGCCTTAGAAATTGATTGTCCAAATTGACTGTCAATGACTTTGTTTTCAAAGTCCTTGAAAGTTTCATCTTTTCTTGAGATCAGAGCATGATGTGAATCTGTTTAACTGATTTATTGATTCAGCAGGTCTGCCAATAATCAGGCCTGTGTGTGGCTTGTGAAACTGAACTTAACTTTCCAAAACATATGGGTAATCACAGTTAATTCACAATTTAACAATGGTGAGCAATTACTTTTTCACATAGGGTCAGGTAGCTTTGGATAGGGGTTTTCCATAAACAAATGCAATCATAATTTAAAAGCTCAATTTGAAAGTAGTTGCAGTGTTGTAGATGTTTCTCTTTGCATTACAGATATCAATCAAGAAATTCAATTGGGGATATCTAAATCTAATTTTAAGAAGTCGAACTTGATGGGTGAGTGAAATTGTAATTTTTCATTTCATATTTTGAAAAATATAAATCCGATTTCCACAAGTAAAAACTTCTAGTTACATCTTAATTGATTACAAGTTTAAAGGGGCGTTTAAAACTGTAAATTTGAGCTCTTAATCAAATATTCCAGTAGGTGGCGGTAACGCTAACTGAACAGCAACAGTGTGAAGCGTAGAAGAAGATTTTAAGTCAGGGAAACGGAAATGTCAGCCGAGTGACTGCATAATATTTCTACTTTAAAATTTAGGATGGAATGCTAGTTTAGAGGAACAAACCGTCATATAACATCGTCAAAGAGAAAGCTGCGAATATGACAAATGGTAGGTTTTCCGTGTTTTCCAACTAGCTAGAACGTGTCGACAACAAGCGGGACAGGAAGTTAAGCTACTTCTTGGAATTGAGGCTAGTTGAGGCTAGGCTAGTTGTAGACGTGGCCCTGGGCAGCACTGTCACTCTGTTAGCACCAAAACAAACTCCTCACATATTACAGTGCTATAGTACTTGTCTTTCTATTAAATAGCAGTACTGTCACAAAGCCTGCTGTGTTTAGTATGAACCTCTTCCTAGCTTCTATTTTTTTTTGTAAGACTACACGTATCTATGCTATCAGGCTTTGACTTGTGTGTGTCTGTGGCTAATGCTACAAAAAAAATTCAGGATAGCCAGGTAGACAACAAGCAGCAACAGCACAGTTTGGACAAAGGAAAAAAAAAATCACTGTTAGGCAAAATATACATGTATGCTTCACCACTGGCATAAATATTTGTCTCAATGGTAACTACAGAGAGGAAATCAGAAGGTGACATCCATAGTTTTGTTTTGCATACTATATTAATATGACGCTTGGAGTTAGTGGTTGATCAATGTCAATATTTGCTTCCTTATAAAGCAAACCTCTTTGGAGGCTGTGCTGCATTTAAGAGTGTATTTGGTTGTATCTGAACAGAAGTGAGTGATTGTTACTCTGTGCTCTTAGATTCTCTAATATAATAAGTGCATGCAATGCCACTTTTCCCTTTCCATAGTTTATTCATTCGATGGCATCCTTGTCTTTGGGCTGCTTTTTATCTGCACTTGTGCATACCTCAAAAAGGTGCCTCGCCTCAACAACTGGCTGCTGTCAGAGAAAAAAGGAGTGTGGGGTGTGTTCTACAAAGGTAAGTATGATGTAGTGTGATTCAGACACAATGACTTCCCCCTTTTCTTTTTTATATGCTTAATATCAGCAGCCTGCTGCTTTCTTTTTTGTCTTGCACTCTTGTACATATATTATTTAAATTAAACAATGACAACACGCAAGGTTGGTTGATAATAAATCGATCACAGGGCAACAAATACTGGACCTTCTTTCTCAGAACTCCTCATCTTCTTACTATAATGATCATAGTGTATGTATGCATGTCCTCCTAGTAGCATCAATCAATCTGGATGAAATATACTATATAAACTGTCTAGGGTTACAGGATTATTAATATTTATATAGGTTTTGGGATTTATTTAACTCTTAAATCCTTCCAAATTATTGATTAAACTACATATTACGTATTACACTGCATATTAAATATTATATGTAGTGGCTGATCTCAAAACGAATGGCAGCATTACATCTTTGTTACAATGTATGATGTTGTTTGTGTATGCATTTTTGTTAAACTAGTTTTAGTGGTGTGGCACATTGGAATATTGTCATACATATCTGTTAATAAGTATATCTCAAAGAATTACATTAATAGTGCATGCAATTGATTACTTTGTCTTATACAATGAATGTGTAGCTTATAAAGAACAACAATGAAAAATGTGTTTTTATTACTTATATGTTCGATATTAATGTACAGCCATTTTTGCCTTCTCACTATATACAGAGATATAATGGAGATTAAAAAAAAAAAGAATAATAACAAATTCGTACATGAACACACAAGCGCTGCAAAGCGGACAAAAACTGCCTGTAGTTTAGGCTTTTGTTAGTAAAGGTAATAACAGTTCAGCTGTTTGGCATTTACAGTTTTATTATGTCATTATAAACAAAGGGAAGTAAATGCGAAGCCAGCTTTATTGTACTATTTGACTGGAAGAACTTTTCCAGTTTGATGTAATACCTTCATTTCTCACGCACTTATATTGTCAGATTAACTGAAAATGACTGCATTTCCAGACAATGTAGTATGTCACAATATCCACTGATATTTCAGCTCAAGATCTGACTTTATGTCTGATGCTTTCTTCTTGTTTTAACTCATCTTATCTCGTTCTCAGCTGCAGTAATTGGGACAAGGCTTCACATCGCTGTGGCAGTATCTTGCCTGGCCATGGCCTTCTACATTGTCTTCTTAAAATGATGGTGAGGCTAGATGGGAAAGGACAAACTTTTCAGAGAGGGGATGGACTCATCTCTGCGGTCACATGTTAATCCTTGTTGTTGGGACACCTTTTGGATTCTATGACTGATGAACTCCCGCTGGACCTTTGGACCCATGTGAAAGTGAAGTCAGTGCTGCCCCCTTCTGACGACTGGGTACACAACTTCTAAACTAATATTATGTATGCACTACAGATGTGAAGTACTCGACAGTTATTTCAGTGGAGGGAGAGTGCTGGGTCACATGGTAACATTCTGTTGTTGGGTAGTACTGTCTGACGTCTCCATCCACCCCACGTAATAATTAATACTGAAGGATGCAGAAGATTGAAGGGCTGTGTGTGCATTATACCTTACACCTGTATACAACTTAAAAATAGCCTACCTGTGTATATTTGGAAATAAACATAACGCTAGTTATTTGCTAGAGGTTACATGTGATCAACTCTGCTCATGCCCAGTACCTCTTTTTTTTTTTGTTTGTTTCTTCTGTCAGTGGTGGAGGGAAAGATAAAAGCTAATATATAACAATGTCCATGTGTACACTTTTATTTACTTTTTTGGATCTCCCATGTTAACATTTTTTTAGGTTAGAAAAATACAGATTTTAAATAAGTGTATGTTGTATATACTTTGTTATCAAAATGTATACTGGATAACATGTTTTAAATGTCACACATTAGACTGTAATTAAAATTCTGTCAAAACTCTGGAGAAACGAGTAGTACCTGCAACAGATGAGGCATATCTCAAAATTTTGCAAAAATGTGTTTGCTGTGTCTTGCTTGAAGACTTACAAGCAATGCCAAATAGGGATGGTGCTTCTCATGCCATTTTAAATGTATACTGCTGTTATGACTTAATTTCTGTCACATTATTTCTATTCTCAAAAGAAAAGATTGCTTTGGGAGGGAATGCAATGCAATTTTAAGTAAAATGTTGATCATACAATTTATATGTATTGTTGTCTTTAAAAAAAAAAAAGTTTATCTGCACTGATTAGCCACTTTATTAAATATGCCTGTTCAAATGTTAAATGTACATATCTAGTTGGGCAATCTCATGGCAACAGTTTAATGCATTGAAGCATGTCAAGGTGAACTGCTGAAGTTCAAACCCGCCATCCGAGTGAGAAGAAGCAGCATGGTATATGTAGTCAAATGGGTTGGTCTGAGTATTTCATAAACTTCTGCTAGGATTTTCCTCATCTTTCAGACTATTCTCTCTAAACGGTCTAAAGAATAACCAGTGAGTGGCAGTTCTCTGGGTGAACATGAATCGTTGATACCAGAGGTCAGAGGAGAATTACCAGACTGGACTGAGCTGGTGGCTAGTCAACAATAACTCAAAAAGCTACTCGTTACAACCAACAGAAGATAATACATGGAGCCTTGAAGCAGATGAGCTACAGCACCGGAACACCATACCACATGTTATAAGTTTGGCAATATAAGATTGGAAAGCTGGCGCCTAGTATGATGAATCTTAGTTCCTGCTGCAATATTCAGATGGTAAGGTCAGAATTTGATTTTAAAAACATAAGCA